AGTAGGAAGTTTATGTGTGTTCTTTACAAGCACTTTTATCTTCACAATAACAGATCTAATACTGAGTGGTATATAAATACAATACTAATAAACAAAAGCAGACCTGCCTGAAAGGCATCATCTATCAATTACAGGCTTAGTATGACATCCACTATGAAAATCTAAACAACTGAATTACATTACGAATTGACAGTTTTAAAAAGTTACAAAGCAGAAAAACAGAGGACTTCAACAAAAAAAAATGCTCTAAAAGACAATTTTTGGCTGAGGAGAAAGTTGCCACTGAAAAACACTTCCTTTGCAAGCTGAGAGACATCAAAAACTACATTCAGTTAATGACAGATATTTGTACTTTTTAAAATGTCAGTTTGGGAAACAAAATAAAGAGAATTAACACAATTTTCTTGTGTAAAAGAGTCTGCCCACACTGCTTTGAGTTCTGTACAGACACAGGATTACACAGAAAATAAGTTGTTTAAAAAGCTTTTAAATAAGAGATCAAAAAATAGTAACTCCATTTAGCAATGAATAGCTTTGAGAAATAGCAATTAATAGTTCCTGACTGATAACAAGCATCTCCTTAAACTGCAAAGCTAAGGGAGTCTGCTTTCTCATGAAATCCTGTCTCATAAAAACTACTTGCTGTCCACTGCGATGAGTATTCTGATTGAAATACTATCCACAGCTAAGACACACACAACTTCTTCCTGTACCTTTTCTTGCATGCCAAAGAACAGGTTAGTTCATGCTGAAACTTTTTCATCTGAGATCAATACAATTTTCCTTTCATCTGGCCACCTATTTTTAATAAAATTCTGGGGACTGTTTGTTTTTGCAACCTCTACCCTGTAAACCACAAATTATACCACAACAGGCTAACAGACACTGAGTTCAACTTGAGGAAGAGAGGGGATGAACAAACCCATACACACTCTAAAATACAATATAGCACAGAAGAAACAGTTTAAGAGATTCCTGGACTACATGGAAGATAATTTCCTGACAGAGTGGGTGAGTGAGCCAAGAGGCCAGATGCCTTACTACGATTTATGAATAGAGAAGGATGATTTGCTGCTCGGAGGCCATCTAGGGCACAGGCAACTATGAAATGATAGTTTTCAGTTCTCAGAGCTGTAAGGAATGTAGTCAGCAGAACTGCCACCTCAGACTTACAGAAGAGAGATTTTTGCTTGTTGAGGAGGCTAGTTGATAGAGTCCCTTGGGAGGCAGCCCAGAAGGGCTAAGGCTTTCAGGAAGGCTGGACATTCTTCAAGAAGAAAATCCTAAAGACAGAGGAGCAGACCATCCCTATGTGGCAAAAGTAGAGTCAGTGACAAGGAAGACCAGCCTGACTGAACAGAAAGTTTTGCTGGGACCCCATAAAAAAAGAAGACACTTTGGAAAACCCCTTGCAATGCTTCAGGCTTGAGGCAGAGTGGCTGGAAAGCTGCCTGACAGAAAAGGACCTGGACTGCTGGTTGACAGCAGCTGAACATGAGCCATTTATATTTATGCCCAGGTGGCCAAGAATGCCAATGGCATCCTGGCCTGTGGCAGCAATAGTGTGGCCAGTAGTACCAAGGCAGTGATTGTCACCCTGAACTTGGCACCGGTCAGGCCACACCTTGAATCATGTGTCCAGTTCTGGATCCCTACAGAAAAAATATTAAGGTGCTGGAGCATGTCAAGAGAAGGGCAATAGAGCCAGTAAAGGGAGAACGAGTCTTGTGAGGAAGTGCTGAGGATTGTTAAGCCTGGAGAAAATGAGGCTCAAGGGAGACCTTATCGCTCTCTACAACGACCTGAAAGGAGTTTGGGGTCAATCTCTTCCACCAAGTAACAAATGCTTCAAGTCGTACCAAGGGAGGTTTACACTGGATATCAGGAAAATTTTCTTCACTGAAGGGTTGTCAAGCACTGGTCAGGCTGTCCAGGGAAGTGGTTGAGTCACTTGAGTGGTGCAGATGCGGCACTTAGCAACATGATGTAGAGGTGAATTTGGCAGTGCTTATTTGACAGCTGGACTTCATGAGCTTAAAGATCTTTTCCAACCTAAATGATTCTATGACACACGTTTTTTGTGTTGGCATAAAACCACTTTTGCAATGGTGATTGGCAGACTCTCCTTAGAAAACAAAAAACCTTCAATATTCATTCTCAGGTAACTTTCCCATCGCCAAGTTACCAAGCTTTTTCTCTCTGTTACATATTTCACCTAGTTCTTTGTTGCCTTCCTTACTAGAAAGGGGGATCTACTCAAGAAGAAGAAGAACAGAAAGTTTTTCTACTTTTCCTAGTTCATGTTCTGGCAGTTTAAGCTTTTCCCATAGTGCAGAAAACTGGGTTTAGATTTCCAAATATAAAAGGATAATCCTGCTCCCTCACAATGTGAACAGCAGGTCTATAAACACAGCTATTATATAAAAAAAAGGCAACGTGGCCATCCCACTTGGTCTTGCTATGTTGTCTGTCATAGATGAATTTTCTGAGGAGATTCAACCTGCTACAATACAGCATACTCTATAAATGCCTACTTGGTCAAGACCCTTAGCAGACTTAGAAGGAACAATTCATTTTGGTTAACTGAACTAACTGCTGCTCAAACTCAGCCTTTAGAAAGTTGCAGTACATCTGTGCATAATCAAAAGAAACATTTCTTGCACCTGGGAAATCTGTGTTGGTCAATAGACAGCACCTCACTGTGTCTTGACAACCACATTTTATTAAGAATGGAATAAACCATAATATACAACAAGGTCCAAAACATAACAGCTGATATGTCCTGGATCAATGTTTTAATTCTATTGAATTCTAGTAACAATCTTCTAATACAGATCTTTGATTATAAATTTCTAGGATATTAAAAAAGCAAACTCTCAGAGTATAAATATGTTTTCCATATAGCTTCAAACACCCACATTAATTATCACCCAACTTAAAGTTACATCTATCAGATACACCTGGCAGCTGACAGAGCAGAATAAAAACTAGCTTGCCAAAATACAGGGACCTAATTCAAAGAAGCAACTAAGTTTGCCAGCAGACTTCAGGTGTACTAGATGGCAGCAGAAATCTAGGTAGGCCTCTTAAGAGCTATAGCTCACTTTTCAGCTCCACTCTGCAGTTCTGTTTTGGCTCAGAGCAGCTGGGAATAAACACTCTCAGAAAATATTCCATTAACCCATGAAGACTATGGTTCAAGTGTGTATATCTGACTTCTCTAACTAAATGATATATCCAAAATTCCTTCACTCACTCTTCACTTTCTTTCTTGTGCCTTTCACAAGAATCAGTTACTATTTGGATGACAACAAGCAAAAATACTGTCATTGCTCAACAGGACTGCTGTAAGCACAGACCGATCAGGAAAAAGTTGTGGTTAGCTCAAATATGTTCAACAAAAATAGTTGTCAGAAAGGCTGATAGGAATAGGCAAAAAAATTCATCACTGAACATACCCCAAAATGTTGTAAGTTGAAAAGTCAACGTAACAAGATCAAATCTGTCACATTTCCAAGGACATACACCTGAATCATTATTTTAGGATGAGGAAAAAAAAAATTTTTCAAACCTCAGTCTTTGAATAGCAGTAAAATATTCTGAATGAAACTTAAAATGAATCAGCTAACTAGCATTTTAAGGTAAGAGCACAGAAGTTTGAATCATCTGTAATTAACTGAAGACAAGGAAATGAGACAACCTCAAAAAGTTGAATACAGAGAATATATGGAGAATCTGAGCTGAATTTCTTGATCCAGAGAGTATGTTTCCAATACTGTCCTAGAGAATTACTTAGGAAAGGAGGGAGTGGGAGGACAAAGAGCAAAAACTGACAACAAAGATGAACAACATAAACTTCTGTGTTTTTCTTTACTGGGACTTATTTCCAAGGCATATTATTTCATGACAACACCACTACCAGTAAATACCTCTTTAAAATCAGCTGCATTATTATCTTTATCATACACAAAAAAGAAACCAGACATCAATCACAACTGTTTTCCTTATGTAAAATGTATCACTGATCACAGAAAGCGTTGATTGAAATCACATCTCAACAATAACCAAAATAATATAGCAATCGAAACTGTACATTAATTGTCCAGATTAGTCATAGGATGGGACAATTTTATCTACAAAGTTCATACCACTACCGCCATTATGGTTGATTTTACTGGGTTTTTTTATGTGACCTGCAATGGTATCCACTACAATTGGATATAGTGCTTGCAAAATAGGTTCCACCCATTAGAAAATAAAAGGGAGCAAAGAAAGAGTATAAGGTTTCCAATAACTCTCATAAATGAAGGCCAAAAATGACAGGGATGCACTTTTTTCCCAGCTACTGCCCCTCTCCCAGAGCAGCAAATATCTTAATTCAAGTAGCAATAATTTATACATAAAATTATAACATAAGGTTTCATAACAACTCCTTGAAAATTATTTATTACATAACTTTCATTCACCTTGAATATGTGAAAAGCAAGTCAATTGACCTTCCAAATAAAAAAGAAGATTTTGACACAAAAAATCTTGGCAAGGCAACAGATTTATCCAGAGCTACACTTTCAGTTCTTAAATTCTTTACAACCAATATACAAGCAGCTTGAAAATAGAATTTGAATCCTAAGGTACTAAATGCTACATAAAAGTGGATCTTAATTCAAATAATTGGTTTTGTACATCCTTCTTCCTCACTTGATCCTTCGCAAAATTATTCAGCCTCCAGATCAAGACATTAAATGTCATTTACAGAATCACTCAATGCTGACTTAGTTAATGAAGACTTTGCTTAAAAACATAATATACAGGTGACCATCGCTGAAAATAAGAAATACCCTTTTTAATTAACTTGGGTAAATAATACAAGCAATAAGCTGTAGCACATGCTATAATACATAATAGAATTATAAGAATAAGCACCATAAACACTTCAAAATCTAACACTAAGTACATATGTTATTTAGTTATCTGTGGTAGCAAAAGCAAAACATTCATACCTGCACCTGGAATGATGGCCAACTTTGTTTCAACTAGGCCCATTTTGGCAGAAGATGCTAAAAAATAGAATGTAAAGGAATTCTTACTCTAATGTAGAAGGAAAAAAGTCTATGGAAAATACATAATAATGACCTAGAAGTTTGCTAATATGTTAAGTTTTCTTCAAAAATAAAAATAAATCGCTTTTTAAATAATTTGCTTATTGAAAAAAAAAAATTCACATAGATTCTGCTTTTAGCGAAAGATCCAACCACTTCCATCAAGGCAAATTCAGTACTTTATTAATTTTCATATAGCAAGTAAGCAATAACAGTGAGTAACACAGACTTGCTTTCAAATGAAAAGTACTAAAAGAAAACGGATGTTATTGCTTAACATCTTATAATGGCGTAGAATTTTGTATCTGATTATTTGAATTCTTTTGGTGATAGAATGTTCTCTGGAGTCAAATAATTGTATAAATCCTAGCTTACTGGCTCAGAACCAAGTATCCATTTACTTTCCATCAATAGGCTTTACAATACTGACAGCTTATTAGCTCAAGGTTCCTCTTTTCAAGAGTAGTTGTCACATTTCTAATTTAATTTCTTATGTAATAATACACTTACTAGCAACTTTTGTTTTTTCCCTGCACCCTGTTTAGATAAAATCAAGTCTCTGTCTAGAGTACTTTAAATGCACAAGAATAAAAAAAAAATTAAAAAAGGAAAATAATGGCATGACCCTATTAGCAAGACTGATATAATTAGGGTCAGAAGAATCACATAAATATTTAACAAAACAAATCCAGCTAACAGACTTAAGTTTTATAAATTAAACATTAGCAAGTACTTAGACACGTTTCTGCTAATGCCCGTTAAAATAAGGGGTTATAAACAATGTGAAATATAAAGTAAGTTTTATAAGACTGTTGCCAACAGACAGATTAGTCAAGCCAGCTATAACACTAATTACCCTATATTCCATAGCAGTATTCAGACCTACCTGCCACCCGTATATCACAGGCTAACGCAAGTTCTAGGCCACCACCTAAGGCAGTTCCATCTATTGCAGCAATAGTAGGTACAGGCAGATTAGCTGAAAAAGAAAGTACCAATTAACACCAACCTCATAAAGAACACCTCTGGAATGTGATTTCATTAGTTTTGCTCATTCTACAGTCATACATTTCAAAGCTAGAAGCTGTGTCTTGACATTCTCAGACCACCACTGGCAATAATGGCCAGCACCATTGCCCCTTTTCTCTCGTAAAGCAGCAGCTAACAGCTTAATAGAGGTGGGAAACTTCAGTTTGACAAACAAATGCACATACTGCCAGCACACATGACAGGTAGCAGGGCTCCAGAGGCCTGTGTGAGCATGGCATGGTTTGTATGTAATTTATCATCTGTGTTCTGACATAAGAAAGTCATTTCAACAATCAGCCTAAAGACCTTCTGCAAATTCAAGTTCTTGTCATCCCCATTCACCACAAACTCAAAGTTTGATGAAAAATGCATTTTCATTTTAGAAACACACTTATATGTTACAGCTTTAATTCTATTTAATGTACGAGTTAACACAAGCTATCAATTTTAAAATATACTCAAACAGTAGTCCAGTAGTACATTGTTGTTACTAAAGTTTCAAAGATAGCCAAAAGCAATTCATTAGCTGGACACCTGGGTGTACAGCTTGCTGAAATATTAAATCAGTTCTTGACCACAGCTTTTTTTGCAGATGTTACAAAATATTTTCTTTGTTTCAATGTTTCAGCTAATTTAATTCAATGACCAGGTCATTCAGTTTCATTAGCCAAAAATAGAAGAGAAAAAACTCTTCTGTCAACATAAAAATGAAAATGGCGCATGAAAGACTTTAAAATACTTATTTCCTTTTAAAATCTAGAAGGATAATATGACAAAATATATACTTCAATGTATTAATTAGAACTTTTCTAGTGAACTAGCTAGTTCTAAATTTAGAAATTGTGCTACCTAGCTTACTTTTTTCCTGTCTGACAAACTTCAGATAACTTCATTCAACAAAAGAATCAATTAAATATTGGTATACATCAGCATGACAATTATTATATAAGCCTGTAGTCTCTCACTGAGTAACAAACAAAATACGTAATTAAACAAAGGTTATTTTAGCTGCAAATTGACCTGCTTTTATGATTACCAGCTAATGAAAATCCAATTGTATTTAAAAAAAGAACAAAAACTGAGCAATGCTTTTCAAGATTCCAACAGATGCTTTAAAACAAAGTCCCTGGGTTACTGGTTTAGATCATGATTAACAGTGATTATCTGAATCAATTTCAGTGCGAGAAGAGATTACTGATTACTGTTTGCAAGAGCTCTTTCAGTGGCTTAAAAGAGGTCAAGGTATCCATTACATCTGCCATCTGCTACAGAAGGCATAGGAGACAGAGGAATAGTAGAAAAATCTGTTCTTTCTCTATTTACTTCTTCTTAGTTATATGGAAAGGCAACTCTCATTTCCAACAGGGCACGGTTGCTGACAGAAACTTATAACCCTGTCAGCACAACCAATTTGCCAAACAGTCTTGCAATCTTGCTAGCTGACACAGCTAGCCTTTCTCTTAAAGAAATATGCCTTTGCCTTGGGTAAATAAAAAATAGTTTGCCTGAACATGAAGGCAGGGTCATTGTTAACTGCAGTTTCCAGCAGTTACTGCCTGTATGAATGTTCCGTTTATCAGAGAACAGCAAACACTATCTTCAGCACTGTTTGAATGGCTTTTGCAGTACTCCAAGGCAGAATACTTTCCTAAGATAAGCAACTTCTGGAATTATCTATGGTGCAATTCAAGTAGACTATTACACATGGAAATGGAAGTTATAAAATGAGTATTATAAAACAGCTTGGTTTCAAGAATTACAGCCAGCTCCTATAATGAAATAATAAAAAATCATAATTCAAGGAAATAAAAGGCAGTTTGACAATGTTAGAATCATCACTTCCCAAGGATACTAATTTGAAAGGATCACCTGACATAAGAGTTGATAATGAATGAAAGGCAAAAGACAAATTCCTTGTAATAGACTTGTGTGCATCTATTAAACGAATTTAAGAAATTAATCCTTTTAACATGTTCTTGTGAAGCATCAGAAAAACTAGCATAAAAAAAAGGTAGTAATCATTGGAGATTGCAAAATGAGTTTCCAGGTGACTAGAACTTTTTAACAAGGACAAAGTTTCCTGTATTTTGTAGTATAAGAAACGTCATCACATTTATCGGCATGATTTTAATGTACAGCTGCCAACACTGTTGAGCCCATAACAAAAGCAGAGATGATGTTTGACAAATAATGCCCTGTAGGCTCAATTGAGTTGTATGCACTCAAACTTTAGGAACAATAAATTACACATACAGACAGGTCAATCTCCAAAATTATTCTACATGATAAGGCTCATTTGCTATGAGTGATAAAAAAATATTTAAAGCTTTGCCAAGAGGCCTAGTGGTTTTATACTTTAACATTCCACATTTTTGTTAGTTCAAATAACAAGATATAAATTTCAGGCAATTGTTGTACTACTACTCACTAGTCCTAAATTCTAGATGTGATACAGATGTAATCATGAGCTGCATAGTGAAATAAAAAGGAGTTTAAGATATATAAAAAATAAACAGATTGGCTAAACTAAATGAGAGAGTACAACACAGAGACAAGAGTAGACCATGCATATATAAGAGTTAAAGTTGTTACTAGTAGTTAAAAAGACTAAGTAATGAGCAGCACTAAACTTTAGTTAGAGAATTTCACTGAGTTACTGTAGTATTGCATTTTATTTAAATGGTATGCTCTGTCTCAGCCCTCCAAAATGTATGGTATATTCTAAACCCGTGGTCCTGCCCTGAACCATCATATATCTGTAATCCAATTGGCCAAAGTCTGATTCCGCGCCCACTTTCAATCTACCTCTTAAACTGTGCCAGCGAGATCAGTTGCCCTCTTAGCCCTTCTCCCACCCTCTTGGCCTTTCCATCCCCTAGGCTCTCCCTCTCCCCCTCCTTCCCCCTTTGCCCCTTTTCCCTCAGTAGGCATGCTGTTCCCAGGGATGGGACCCCCAATAAACCCTCATCTAATCAGCACTCTCAGAAACCGTGTGGAGTCTCCTTGCCTGCCTGCTGCTGCCAGCCAACTCACAGCCTAGGGGGCCCTCCGGGGACACCTCGGGGTGTCCCCCCCAAAAAACGAACTACATCAAGTTACCAGAGTACATCAAAGGGTGGACTATGAACTACTAAATAATAAGGTAGTTCACACAATTAATTCAGAAAGGATTACTTCACACATCTATTCTAATGTAAAACATGCTTCTTATTCAGTAAATACAGTTCTATTCTGCACATAATAATGTCCCAAGCAAATGCCAATAGTCACATCCTAATGTAACATTAATGCTTAATTATATTATATACAGAAAAGTAAGGTTGTAAGTACAGTAAAGAAATAGAAGGGTCTAATTCAGTTTATGTTATGTCAGCAACAGAGCCAGACATAAGAAAAAAACACATCCCTGTATTCGAGATCACAAGAGCTGAGACTTCTAGCTGAAGAGAAGACAACTGTGAACAAGCAAATAAAAATAAATTTTATGTATTGAGTTGTTTAAAGAATAATCTCTTGGCACAGAAGATGACAAAGCTGGTAAAAAAGGATGTTTAGTGGCCATTCAAGACATGATACAGGTAGAATGACCAACAGGAAAACTGAAAAACTTCAATAAGAGAAAATAAACTTAGTTACATTAGATACCTCAACCAAACCCATTAACAGCTCAAACAAAAGAGAAAGTATGACATACAGCAATATAAAGAAATGAACCTGTTTCCTATTCTGAACCTATTCTGCAGTAACTATGAACTTTCAGCTCAACTTCAAAAATACATCCGGGGTAAACATAGATGTCACATGTAGTTTTAGATTAGGTGGACCAGCAGCCTCTTGTAGTCTTGGGATACCTCCTGTTTTCCTGTGATTCTTCATTACTGAAAGGTGTAGAATAGAGTAAGTAAATTCTCCCACTGTTTTGCCATGAGTACAGAATGCCATAGGGGGAGCGCTTTGCAATTAAGCATATAAAAACATACGTAATCTGTTGGAAGTCATTTCAAAGAATCACAGTTGTTCAGAGGCACCTAATTGTTATTTCACCTTCAAATGACTTTCCACATGATGTCTACTGCTGCTGACTAACAAGGGATTTCCTTTCTGCTTAGAGACCATGATATGACAAACAACAGGCCAGCATATGAATACAGGCACCTGGTCTGGAGGATTTAACCACTAAATAGTTTCTCAGATGTGTGCTGTAACACCCACACAGCTGATTCATACTACTGCAGATACTGACATTCCCCAAATAGAAAGCAGAAAATGCCTGGATTCTACTGACCTGAATCATAAATTACTGTTCAGTCTTCTCATTAATTTATTAAGGAAGTTCTTATAAAATTACAGATATGTAAGATAACAGCTGGGAGGAAACAGTATTACATGTGACACTTTCTTAGCAACTCTCATGTAGCCTTTTTTTATTCCTACACAACCTCAGTTTCTCATTACTGACAAAAAAATAAATGGCCTGATCAACAAGGAAAACCTGCCTTCCAAGTTAGAGAAGATGAAGGAAGTATGAAGAATGAACACATATAGTAAATCCAAAATGGCAACAATTCACATATGAAAGTAGCCTTGTTTTTATGAAACATTACATACAGTAGATTCCACGTAACAGGCAAAAACTCCACTATCTTTAGCTGGGGTCCCATTACTCAAAGAAAGACCTATTAGTAATGCTGACCCCTTACTGTGAGTTCCTGAAACAGGCAGAGGAAGAATAACATGGTTATCCAGAATTCCAGACTTTGTGATTTGTGCTCCTGGTCAGCCTGCATGAACTTCTCCCAACCAGGAAAAATAACTGCAAATTCAGAATATATCAAATTTAAAAAGACCAACCTCCTAGGAGTGTCTTCCTTGCTTGTTTAACAAATTTATACATATAAGATTTTCTGTAAGCAACTGTACTACATACTCATATAAACAGAAAAAAACCCC